TCAAATGCTGTGAAATTTATGGTGGTTGCTGTTTCAACATTTGGACCACGTAAGGTTGTTCAAGAAATTGTGCAAGAACAAAATAAAGATATGAACTTGAAGCAGTTTTTGCAATATTATAAGGACATTTTTGTCCCTTGGTGTTTGCAAACAAATAGCTCCTCCATTTTGGCTAGATTGGATCTCTTGCTTGCATTACTAGATGATGAGTGTTTTTCAGAGCAATGGGATAGTATAGTTTTACATGCCACTGGAATCCATGATTCCGATCATACTTTGGTATTGACACTTCTCATGGAGAAAACAAGAGAAGAAATTATAAAGAGGAAAGTGGACCCCAACAACTGGCATCACGAGCTTCTTGATTCTACTGCTCTTTTGATTAGTCATTCTTCTCCCCCCTTTGGATCTTCCAATGCACGATTTATTCGGTGGGTAATTATGTCTTTTTGCATCTATGACATTATTTTACTCTTTCAACTTCCCTAACTCTTCTTTTTTCATATTTGATTATATCTTAGTGCTGTTCTTGGAGGCATAACAGAAGAGGATCAAATCATCTTATTAAGTGAGAACACATCAATCTTGATTTTTGAAGAAATCTTCCAAAAGTTACAAACTTTCATTCAGACTTCCAACTTCACTTGGGTCAGAAACGCCATTTCATTGCTAAATGTTGAAAAACACGTAACAATCAAAGAACATGAAAGCGTACTTGAAATAGCCACTTTTTCATTGGAAGTTCTCAAAGGCACCTTTTTCAGATTAAAATCTCTTACCCAAAATCCACACTTACTTCCATCCATTTTGGCTGTGTTATTTGTCATCGATTGGGAGCATGCCATGTCATCCGTGTTCTATGACGGAGTTGATGACGTGGCATACGCTAAAGTCGTGGATCGAATCGATTTTTGTAAATCTGTGCATGATTATCGTTGTGAGATGAATACTTATTTTAAGACTTTGAGCTTAGATTGTAGGAGAGTATTGGGTGGTATGCTGGTGCAGGTGATACGGTGGGGTGTAGTTAATGAAGAAAAGTTAGATGTTGATAAAGTCACTTCTCTTGGATGCCTTTTTGTTTTAGAGGTTTTGGATAGTTTTTGTGAAGGGCAAATTGAGGAACAAATGTTGTTAGATGAGCTTTTGAAGAAGGATGATTCTTGGCCTTTGTGGATCGTTCCTGATATTAAAAATGGACAAAGATCGGGTGCTTTGAAAGTCGATATCGTTTCTTCCAATGTGAGTAAATGACCATTTTACCCTTCTGTCTAAAATTGATACTAAATAATAAATAACAAATAACTATTTATTGTTTTTGCAGGTGTCTGAGTGTCACCAAATGGCCACTTTTGTTGACAAGCTTATATCAAAACTCGGTATTTCGCGAGTTATTGCAGGTATCGATGACGTGGCGCCACGTCATCCTCCTTACCCACGTGCTTGGCTTGCAGCTGAGATGCTATGCACATGGAAATGGGATAATGGTAGTGCTTTAAGCTCGTTTTTACCTTCATTGATTCAATACACAAAGTATCAAGATTTGTGTTTTACAAACAACTTATTCGACCCCATTGTCCAAATTTTACTCGATGGTGCTCTTGAAAAAACAATAAAAAAGTTGAGTTTTTTCGGTATTTATCCGGCCCCACATGATGAATTGGATGATATTGAAGAAGTGTTTGTGAGAAGTCTTGTGGGGATACTAAATATACTTTTTGGGGGTAATATTTGGGGAAAAGAGAAAGCTTTTGGACTTTTTAATCTGCTTGTGGATAGACTTTTTGTAGGTGAAGACATAAACTTAGATTGTTTAAAGATACTTCCTGTAGTTATGAGTGTCCTTATTGGACCATTGAGTTCTCAAGATAATGAATCTGGAAATGACGAAAATGACCCTTTGAAGGGAAACCAAATAAATGATATAATCAAAGGATGGCTCGAGAGAATTCGTTCTTTCCCATCTTTGAACACATGGGAATCAGGAGAAGGTAACTGAGTAACTGACTCATCCATCGCCTACACTTTTCCTTTTTTGCCCCTAGGACCTAAAAAAGTTTCCTACTTTTTTTTGCAGATATGGAAGATTGGTTTCATCTTGTGATATCATGCTACCCAATCAGACCAACAAAAGGAATGCAAGATTTTAAACCACAAAGACACATCAGCCAAATGGAACGAAATCTCCTCCTCAAGTTACTTCGGAATCAGCGATTCCATTCCGCCACTTACAATACCGTCAACAAACTTCCGGTTGTCCAAATGTTGTTATCAAAGCTAACCGTGGTTACAATCGGATACTGTTGGACAGAATTCAACGAAGAAGATTGGGAATTCCTTTTGTATAAATCAAGATGGTGGATTGAATCCTCTGTTGTCTCAATGGAGGAAATCGCCGAATCCGTGAACGACACAATCACCGGAACTTCCAATTCCAATTCCAATTCTGGTGTACCCGAGAATCTCCTGCGTATAGTTTCCGATTTCGATTCCGTTCCTTTAAAACTTGCAACAAATGCACTTATCGCATTCTCAATGTTCCGAGGGCTAATCGGGAAACAAATTACCGAAAATGAAAGTGATATGAATCCATTAAGAGCTGAGAAGTTTGATGCTATTAAAGATCGGATTCTAGAAGGTATTCTTCGGTTGTTCTTTTCAACGGGTGCAACCGAAGCCATAGCCGGTTCGTATTCTTCCGAGGGTTCTTTAGTCATTTCATCGAGTCGACTCGATGATGGTCACTTTTGGGAGTTGGTGGGTTCGAGTGTGGTTGACTCTTCGGTTCTTGCTAGGGATCGGGCTATAAAGTCTTTTGAAATTTGGGGGCTAAGTAAAGGAGCTGTGAGCTCGTTATATGCGATTTTATTTACGGAAAAACCGGTTCCATGTTTGCAGTATGCAGCTTATGTTATTCTTTCGAGTCAACCGGTTTCCGACTCGGCTTTTGTGATAGAAGACTCATCGAGTTCTTTAGATGAAACTGAAAAAGATCCTCATGATTTGAGTTTAACAGTTCGGTTGAGGGACGAAGTTTCAAGATTTCTTGAAAAACCATCTGAGATTGTTTATTTGGATCTAGTAGCCCCGGAAAGAGTAAGTCCATTAAAATGTTTTTTTATGCACAATACACTGTACACAGTACACAATACACAGTACACAGTATGCGGTGGGTGTGAGACAAGCGATGAAGTGTACTAATACATTGTAAAAAACTTTGCAGGTGAATGTTTTTCTTGCATGGTCATTATTAATATCACATTTACTCTCATCATCATCATCATCATCATCATTATCATCGCGCACAAGAGAGAAGTTGATTCAACACATACAAGACTCGTCAAATTCGACAATATTGGACTGCATATTCCAACACGTACCGCTAGAATTATGCACTGTGAACATAAAGAAGAAGCTTTCGGAACTTCCGGAAGGTATTGCTGAGGTGGCAGCCGCCGCCACGCGGGCAATCACAGACAGTTCAGTGCTTTTTGCTGTTGAGTCGCTTTGGCCTGTGGGCCCAGATGGAATGGCATCTTTTGCTGGTGCGATATATGGATTGATGTTAACAACTGTTCCTGCTTATGTTCGGGGATGGTTTAATGATATACGTGATCGTACTACTTCTTCTGCTATAGAGTCCTTCACTAGAGCATGGTGTAGCCCTCCTCTTATTACAAATGAATTGTCTCAGGTGTGTGTTAATTTTTTAATATGAAAAAAGTTTTCTAGGGCTGTTTTTTACGATGACATTGACGACAACGAGAAGGGTATTTACGTCTTTTGTACAGACGAGAGATCGAGATCGAGATCAAGAGCGAGTCCATGTCCCACCATGCTCAACCTTTTTGTGTGGAACAAAAAATTGAAATTTGTCTCATTGACATCTGTTATAGTCCCAGTCCAATGCCAACGCATGCCAAACACAGTACAATCTGTTCTGTCGACCTGTGTCGACAGAACAAGGTTGTTGGCATGCATTGGACTGGGACTAGGACTGATGTCAATAAGATAAATTTCAATTTTTTGTTCCACACAAAAAGGTTGAACATAGTGGGACATGGACTCGCTCTTGATCTCGATCTCTCATCTGTGCAAAAAACGTAAATACCCTTCTCATCGTTGTCAATGTCATCATAAAAAATAGCCCTAGATGAGTTGGGCTAAATAATAACATATGTTATTTGGAATCTTGGTTTTTGTTATTGTAGATCAAGAAAGCGAATCTTTGTGATGAGAATTTTTCGGTTAGTGTGAGCAAGTCTGTGAATGAGGTTGTTGCCACATATACAAAAGATGAAACGGGTATGGATTTGGTGATCCGTTTACCCGCATCTTATTCACTAAGACCAGTGGATGTGGAATGTACAAGAAGCCTTGGAATAAGTGAAGTCAAACAAAGGAAATGGTTGCTTTCAATGATGTCATTCGTTCGTAATCAAGTAAGTTGTTACACCACTTTTTTCCGACTTTCATAAGGGTAGATAAGTAATTTTGTTGTTATATAAATGTATGTGTAGAATGGAGCGTTAGCAGAAGCAATTGGAATATGGAAAAGCAATTTTGATAAGGAGTTTGAGGGTGTAGAAGAATGCCCAATATGTTACAGTGTGATTCATACAGCAAATCATAGTCTTCCTCGGCTTGCTTGTAGGACATGCAAGCATAAGTTCCATTCTGCTTGTTTGTACAAGTGGTTCTCCACTTCTCACAAATCTAATTGCCCATTGTGCCAATCTCCATTTTGATCATTATATTAATTTTCATTAGTTTTTATAAGTTATACGAGAGTTTTATTTTTTCGAAAGCTTACTTTTGTAATTAGGTTTTTGGACGTTTTGTTTGTTTCACATTTTTGAATTTGAATTTGAGTTGTTGAAATGAATTCCATTATGGTGTTTTTTGTTCCATCATCTAAAAATTTCACCATTTCTATTCGATGGGTTGGAAGCAAAAGACTAAAATACTTAAATACCCCTGATATATAACACAAATAATTTTACTCAATTGACATATATACAAGAATGTACAATTTATGCATTTATATTTAAATCCATAATTTTCGACCATAGAAAAATATAACAATCAAAGCTACAATAAAATCAGTATCCGCATATCCTGGAAATATTGTTACTCGGAATCTATTTCTTGCCACCACTACATTTTGGATCCCAAGCTTGTACATAAGACTAGTCTGCATAAAAAAAAAAACAATATTCATTTATAACATTTTTCAAGTGTATGTATTTTTATTTTTTAAAGTAAAATGCTCTAATAAACAAATATATGAAAGTATGTTGCGATTTATTATACATAGTTCTCATTAATTTGGTTATATTGTTATAGCATTTCTACTTTCATTTCTTTGTTACAACATTTTAGTTTGAAAATTTTACCCAATTATAGTGAAGTCATATACAAAACAACTTTTACTGTTATAATTGGGTAGATTTTTCAAATTCTTCAAAGTACTCATGACTTGGCAATATATTTGAAACATTTTCTTTAAATAATAACCAAGTGTGAATGAAATTGTTAAATGGAAGTACATTACTATTTCTTGCATTTAGCCTTTTAGTAATTTCTCATAAAGCCATGTCTGATTCTGAAACCTAATATATTGTGTGAAAAGTACCTGTGCTACTATGGAGTCGCCCTTATAAATGGTGCAGGATCTATGAAAGGGTGAACCTCTCATCTTGAAATCGGACTTGTTAGGGTTTCCATTATTAACAAACACTTGAAACTCCAGTCTCGTAAGCTTATTCCTTATTCTCTCCACTCTGAACATCAAATCCTTCTCTTCACTACCATCCTTCCTAAAACCCTGCCATGTCGATTTCTGCAAAACGAAAACTTAGGGCTTGAGATTGAAGACTATTATGAGACAATTACTCAATTATTAGTTTCTTGATCCAAATCCAAACCCAAATCCTCATTACTCAATTTGTTAACCACCAGGATAAGAATCGAAGATCACTTGACTTAAAATAATTTAATCTCATAAACAATCAAGGGAATCGGATGAATTGATCCGATTTAGCTTGATTAAAAAGTGCAGAATGATTCTACACTAAGCAAAGGAGACATGAAATGCTCTAATCACCGACAATCATTCAAACGACGATGCCAATGATTCAGATTTAGAATCCGGAGAGAGAAGAGAGCTAACCTGGTTACGAGCAATGGAAATGAGGGGATTTCCAGAAGAATCAGCAAGTAGACGCTTAAGAAACGTAGTAGGAGTGTTCAATCGAGGAGGAGGGTCAACGGAGAAGACTAAATTTGCAGAAGAATCGGTGAATCTGAGATTGGCAGCGTTGGAGGTCGTGATTGTGTTGTGTGGCTTCTTCTTCTTCTTGGAGACGAATAGATCTGTTGGGATGCCATCGGAGTTGGGTTGATAGGATCCCTGAGAATCATCCATTGGTATGTGAGATTTGATTTTCGTTTTTCTGTAGTTTGATTGCTTGAATGTTACTCCATTTGTCATGAACTCATATGATGTATGAACATCTCTAATTAAATACACGTATGTATATGAATTTGCCTATCTACTGTATTTATATAAGAAAATTTAGGCAAAGCTGAAAAATTGGTCCTGTGGTTTGAAAAAAAGAGAGTAAATTATACGAATGGTCCCTATGGTTTAGGGTAATTTGTGCGTTTGATCCCTAACTTTTTTTTTAACTTGGAATGTCCCTACTGTTTGTTTTTGCTACACGTTTGGTCCCTGTCTTACCTAAAAAGACTATTTTGCCCTTGATTTTTTAATTTATTTAAATAAACACACTCCCAACCTCACTCCCCTCACCTTACCCTACCTATCCCATCATTTTCCCTATTTAAATAATAGTCTTTTTAGGTAAGACAGAGACCAAGCGCGTAACAAAAACAAATAGAAGGGACCAAGCGCGTAACAAAAACAAACAGTAGGGACCTTCCGAGTTAAAAAAGTAAGTTAGGGACCAAACGCGCAAATTACCCCAAACCATAGGGACCATTCGTGTAATTTACTCAAAAAAAAAAGTCCAAAAAGTTTGCAAAAAAATAAAAGAAATTAAATATCCTCCTACTTTCATTCCTACATATCTTCCTACCCATTTGAAATGATGACAAATGTATTAAAGTATCATTAGTCTTATCCAAAGATAGGAAGATAAGTAGGAAGAAAATGTAAGAGGATATTTAATTTCTCAAAAAATAAATTCCAAAAAGTTTTAAATTGCATCCAGGTCCAAAATCAAAAAATTTCTTGTGGTTTTAGTCCTAAAAAAGTTAAAATGAATGTTTTTCTCTTTTACTTTCTTTTTTATATTTCTTTTGCTTTTTCTTATTATCCAAATAATTAAAAATAAATAATCGACCCACCCCATCTCTCTCTCTCTCTCTCTCTCTATA